CCCCCCCCCCCACCCCCACCCCCAAACAAAAAAAAATCAATTTCATTGAGCATGAAGCTAAATTTCAAATGGTCCTATACACATAGCTCTTCTTTTCAGATTATCATGTTAATACAAATGTTGTAAATTTCCACTGCATGCATAATCTTTTTCCTCTGCCAAACAAATCATTGTTCACCACAATACAAAGTTATGATCAAATATCGATGATCAAGATATCACAATTGAGAAGCGATCCAGAGTAAAAAAGGCAATGCCCCAAATTGCATCGAAAACATATATTCGAAGCAATTAACAGCAGTCTTAATTAGGCTTGGCTTCAGACATACTTACAAGATGTAGAAAAGATGCATTTAAATACAAGAAAAGGTTGTCATAAAATAATTAGATTTTGCCACGTGGCCCGAGCTTTGGTGGAAGCTGTGGGCCCTTCTTGATTGGTAGAATGTCCCCTGTTGCGGTGGCGCTGAAGTAAGCAAGGGTGGAGCCACCTCCCAAAATCAAGAACTTGAGCAATAAACCCCTCTTGGTGAATGGAGCAGCAAATGTCTCAAAGAACTTGCTCTACAAATGAGATATGCAAATATAAGATAAATAACTAGTACAGAATTGCAAGTATTTGAAAGCTAAACTTTATAATAGTTGGGAATCAGCCTCTTCAAAATAAGGATAATAACATAGCCCGTTACATGTGCAAAGACCATTTGTAAACCATACTGAGACAACAAAAAAAAGCCACATATATACCTGGAGGGAGTTGTAGGGTGAAGGGGCATCAGACCCATACACGTCCCATTGGCCAGTGGTGTTGCCCAAATCCTCCAAATCGAAGTACACACTCTTGTCACCATACTTCGCCACCACAGCACCAGCCCTATGCAGTACAATAGAGAAAGATTAGTAAGGTTTTACCTAAGCTGTGTTAAACAGTGCACATACTGGTAATTCAACTTATAACAAGATTACATGGACATGGAAAGTCGCAAAATTCAAAAATAACACGATTCATAAATACAAATAAAAAAATATTTATTAGTGGGTGACTTGGTTGAAAGAAAAAGGGTTCCAACTTTGGTCTCGTTTGTGACTTATGCAAGTCAATCCAAAGTTCCAAACAGAATATGATTAATCAACAGCTGTGATTAGTATCAAATTAATACTTAATACGAATGTAAAATAACACGATCCTAACTAAATACAACATGACTCGAGATTCTCACAGACACTCACATAGGGTATTGGAACTTGTTACCTATAATTAGTGGATTTCAGGCTCTGGCGTGATGGCTTGACATGGAGCTTAGTGCCTGTGATGGAGCTTCCAGCAAGGCCCTTGATGGTGGTGGGTTGAACAGCAGCAAATGTTGCTAGAGATGCCATGTCCTTTGCTTCCCAAACTTAACTAAAACTATCTTGATTCTCAAGTTGGCAATTGATTCAGTGTGGAAGTCTTTGGGTTTTGTTTATCTCTGTGAACGGACCTTGACTTGCCACGTGGCTGCTAAGTTTCATTGGAGAGATATGGAGTCCATATAGAAGGTGCCACGTGGATGTGCTGGATAAGCCTATCTCCTTCATGACTGTGTATGGTTTAAGCATTATGAAAGAGTACTGGACGAAATAATGTCTGCACTCACCTTACATCTTTTACTTTTATATTTTGGATACACACTTTAAATCCGGAATTATCAATTAAAAATAATTTAAGTTCGGCTGAATAGTGCATTTAAACACGTATAACTTCTTAATCCAAACACACCCTTAGAAGTTAGATTCATATTGAAATTCTAGTTTTGGGATTTTTTGTTCGATAATTAAAGATCAGTGTTATTTGGTTGTTGTATGATGGAGAGTATTAACGAGTCATGTGGGATTGAAAGACTTTAATCTGGGTTTATATGACATTTAGATGTCAAAAATCACTTGGTATTGTATATAGGATTAAATCAAAGACGTATACCAACTACATAGTTTTAATACCCTCAAGTTGTACTATAAACTAATTTTAGTATTTACCTGTGAGGTGGTATAATAATTCAATCAAAAAATATTATAATGCAATTTTATTCTCTTGCTCTAACAGTACCGTAACTTACCGGATCCACCACTCACGTATCTGCTCATGTTATGTGTATATATTTGTGAATTTAATCATTTATGTGTATTGAATACCTTTCCCAACATGAGTCAGTTGATGGAAATTGAAGCTCTTCTAGTCAATTCTAAATACCTTGGCCTGCCAACCTGTGGGGAAGATCAAAGGCAGAAACTTTCAACTATTTATCGGAGAGGGTCATGAAGAAGATTCAGGGATGGAAGGAAGTCTATCTTTCCCATCAGGGATGGAAGGAAGTCTACCTTTCCCAGGCGGGGAAGAGGTGTTGATTAAATCGGTCATTCAAGCTATTTCCAGCTTTGCTATGTCATGTCTACTTTTTCCACAGAAGTTGTGTGATAAATTGAATCAATGTGTTCGACATTTCTGGTGGGTTCGAAATTCGAAGTCCAATGGTATCTGTGGAAATGTTGGGAGGTTTTGACAGCCCCTAAAGTGTCAGGGGGGCATAGGGTTTAGAGACTTCCATTGTTTTAATTTGGCTTTGTTGACTAAGCAGTGTTGGAGATTATTATAGAATCCAAATTCCTTTTGGGCTCGTATTCTAAAGGTGATATACTTTCCTAATTCGGACTTCATGGAGGCTAGAAAAGGAGCAAGACCGTCTTGGATGTGGAGCAACCTATTAAGGGGAAGAGATTTGTTGGCTAGAGGGATTAGATGGCAGGTTGGTAATGGGGAACAGATTAATTTTTGGAATGATAGATGGATCCCGTCTTTGTCTGGTTTCTCTGTTTTCTCGCCCAAGCCCCAGAATTGTAATATTGAGTATGTTAGAGATGTTATAAATCAAACATCAAAGGATTGGGACCTTGATTCTCTACGGCAGCTTACCAATAGAGAGGAATATCGTGCTATCACAACTATTCCAGTCTCGAAATTTAAGGGGTTGGATAAGAGGATATGGCATTTCGATGTGAGGGGTCAATTATAGAGTTAAATTAGGCTATAAGGAGGCAAGGAGAATGAAGATTTCGACTGCGAATCAGGGTAGTTGTTCTTCCTCTCTCCTTTATCCTAATATGTGGAACATTATTTGGAGCTTGAAATCTGCAACCAAGGTAAGACACTTTTGGTGGAGGGTATGCTCTAATGGTTTCGGTACGAAGGAGAATCTCGTTAGAAGAAAATGTTGCTCCTCCCCACTTTGCCAGATTTGTGGTGATAAGGTTGAAACAACAGAACACCTTTTATTTGGTTGTGCATGGACTCATAAGGTTTGGTTCAGATCAGACTTGACCTTGAGAATGGAAAGCCAAAATATTGTATCAGCGAAATTTTGGACATCTTATTTAGTGGAGAATCTAAACACATTTGACCAAGCGGTGGAGGTTGTTAGCAAGGTGGCGATTATTGGGTGGTCCATTTGGAGGATGAGGAATGAGGCTGTTTTTCATTTGGCTCCTCCTAATCCTGTAGTAACACAAAAAAGGGCGCGGATCGATTGGGATGAGTCCTCTTCTCTCCACTTGGTTCGGAACCAGCAGTCCCATTCACCTCCTCAGGACTGTATTGCTTTGGATGGCTGGTGTAGACCTTCCATAGGCCTAGTCACGACAAACTGTGATGGAGCGTTTAACATGAATATGAAACAATCAGCTGTAGGGGTGGTTATTAGGGATTTTGAGACCCAATTATGCATTGTATGCATATTAATATAATTTTGTGGGATAAATTATAATTTTGTGAAAAATATTAGTGGGTCGATTTTGAAATTATTTAAAAACTTGGAGAGGTAAGTGTAATTAACCCATTAACATGACTCACATTTACATGTGTTGGTATAACAAAAAGAAAAAAAAAAAAAAAGGGATGAGTCATGTGGCTGCCAAGTTGCCGTGTGTGTGTGTGTGTTGCTAAAGTATAAAGTGTGTGGGTGTTAAATAAATTATAAAGGGGTGTGTGTGTGTGTGTGTGTGTTAACATATTAAAATGTGTGTGTGTGCGTCTGATGGAGTTCTGCGGCTGAAGGAGGTGAGCAAGAGAGAAAGGGGAAAAAAGAAAGAGGAAAAGAAAGGAAGAAAGGAAACAAAAAAATACGTACGTGCGTCCACTTGAACCGTAAACAAGGAAGATATAAGAATTTAAATTTTGAGTTGTGATTAATTTTAGTATGTACGTATTTGTATATGTGTGGGCTGTTTTAACATGTTTTAATTAGTAGGTTGTTTTAATTTAAATACATGAGTTGCCGTATTGTATTTTAATGGGCTGCTTTAATTCAAATTTCATGGGTTGGTTTAGTTAATGTCAAAACAGATTTGGTATGGTTGTAATTAAATATATTTAACATAATTAACGGGTTGTTAAAAAAAATAATAAATAATAAATAGGTTCCAAATGGGTATTAAAATAAAGATAAGAAAAATGTGTATGGTTATTTGAGATGTTCGGTGTGTTTTTGAGGGGTAGATTGAAAACGAAAATTATGAGAATGAAATGAGTGGTTTAAAGGGCCAATTCGGGGCTGTTTTGTATTGATTAAATGTGTATGTAAATTTAAGTGTAACGGTTTTAAATAAAAAGTGCGATAGAAGTAGGAAACGGGTGTCGGTAACGCCGAAACCCTAATTTCTAAATGTTATTATCACATGTGTGAATTTTAATCCAAATGATATAAAATTTTGCATGTAACATTTTTAAATAATGCTTGATGTGATAATGTGACTTTTGAATGCAAATGAGTTTAATATTCGGTGCGAAATGTATGAAATGCCGGAAGTGCAATTTTTAAGATTCGGGGTTGAAATGTATGAAAATGGACCCCCGGTCAATGTGTTTGACCTACTTAATCCTAATTGTNAAATTTTTAGGATTCGGGGTCGAAATGTATGAAAATGGACCCCCGGTCAATGTGTTTGACCTACTTAATCCTAATTGTGATTAATGTGAGTGATTTTGAGAATTTGTGGAGGAAATGTGATCCCTAGAACAAAAGTGCTAATGTGTGAGTAGATAGTGCGGTAACCGGAGATACCGGGACACTTTGAGGTGCATCATTTGCATGTATTAGTGTATGATTAACTATTAAATGTAATAAATATATNGAGATACTGGGACACTTTGAGGTGCATCATTTGCATGTATTAGTGTATGATTAACTATTAAATGTAATAAATATATTGATATTGTAATTGTAATTATGTTAGGTGGAACGAGTGAAACAATCGGTGTTGGAACAAATACGGTAACACCGAAAGGATCCACTGATAAGACCGAAAGGTCGTAGATTTATACATTTGAGGTGGGTGTATATNGGTGAAACAATCGGTGTTGGAACAAATACGATAACACCGAAAGGATCCACTGATAGGACCGAAAGGTCGTAAATTTATACATTTGAGGTGGGTGTATATCTTTATATGTTTTGAAAATGATGTTATCAGATGATAGAATTTAATAGTAATTCTTCAGGATTATGTGCTACGTGCTTATGTGATTGGATGATGCTTTGTACTGTGTATTGTGTATTGTGGAATGTGGCGGACCGTTTGAGACAGGGGCGTCGATGCCTGGTCATTGGGCGTGCAGTGACGTGCTAGCACTGTGGTGTTCCCGGGAGGTTCGGGAGACACGGATCCCTGTGGGATCGATTACCCAATAAGGGGTAATGTGGATGTGATATGACTTGTGAATTTTTTGAAATTTTATTGATGTTATTGTTTGATACATGTATCTAAGTAGTATCTCTTTATTTTAAAGTATTACTATCATTTTCATTTCATATACTGCATGTATACTCACTGAGCGCGTGGTTTAGCTCACCCCCCTATAGTTTCTTCTTTTAGGTACTATAGAGGAGGATGCAGACCGGTCCACTGTCCAGTTGATTAAATCTTGTGCAACGTTAGTGTGATACCACTCAGGTTGAGTGTCGGTATGACTAACCGTTGGGCTGTATATTATATTTATGAGAGATATTTATGGCAGGTTAATAATATATATTTGTAAATAGACTCAGCAAGAATACAATGTATGCTAAGTGGGTGTGGGATTTTGTATATGTCTATAACTTGGAAAATAAATGATTGGTACAGGTGTTTATATATAGTACATGTTTTACCATTATGCTTAATAACTAAGGTGATGAGTGTTGTTGTTGCACCTGTGGGATTATATCATGTTTGATCAGTCCAGCTTATAAGAATTATTCACAGGTGTATAAAAAACCTAGTCGCATCTCATCCTTGGGAGACCGGGATAGGGCGTGACAGAGATCATGCAGGGAAAATTTTAGACGGTTTAGCAATGCAGTTTCCTTTTGTTTTCAACCTTTATTCGGAAGCCTTGGCCTTACGTGAAGCATGCATGTGA